GAACGAAAAAGTCCTCATTCTGTTTCCGGTGGGGCCGACTACCGAGTCTCTCACATCCGGCTTTTAAAACAAAATTAAAGGCACAAAAATATAAATGTATTAAGGAATTCTTTGTAAGGTATCTTCCTTCCAAGGGTTAGGTGACGTCTAACGATGGGTTCACTCTTGTCGAATCGCTCTTGTGCGTGTGCTGTTGCTAGGACTGACTAATAAGGCGTCTGTCTATGTCTTGAGGCGTCAGCGTTTTACAGCCGAGTTTATAAGCGTAGGTGACGTCGAAGCAGGCATGAAGCTGCTGCCGCCCTCATTCACGACTCAAGTTGACCCATCTAGGCCCTATGGCTCTTGCACGAGGATGCCCAAAGCGCACGCATATCCACCACACACTGGGACGTGAACAACCGGCTGCCTGGTCGGAAGAGATCGGAAAGACAAAAAGAGGGCAAAGCCAGATAAGATCAGTGATGTGGGCTCCTCGATCTGCCGGCAAGTGAGACCGACCTGTATGGCGGACAGACTGGCAGAAGTGACACCTTCACTCAAGTAACACACTCGCAACCTCCCCAACCGGATGCCATCGGTACGTGATTACCTCCAGAAGGCTTTGTAGCCAATGTGTTTATATGTAAATAAGTTAATTAATTAAATTAATTAAATGATTAAAATAGGTAACTATTTAGATAAATAGATACATTTACGTGCATGTGCGTGTTTGTATGTGCAACTGTTGTGGTGAGGGCGGGCAACAGGCAGTATGATGAGGGCAGAAGGGGAAATGAAGGGTTTAGTCATGCCAACTGAAGGCTCTAGACGATGGATGATTCAATTTTTGTGTTGGAAGAAACAGATGAAATGAAGAGATTCATGAAACATAGAAAAAACGGAGTCTCAAAGACCCCCTTTGTGATTAAGTGCGACTTAAATTTTCATTTCAAAGGAAAAGTTGTTAGAAATAATTCGTGAATAGGTATCACCGGAAGTAAACGGAGGATTGCGATATGAAGAGAAGCTGGTTTTCGAAGAATTCCTTAATAGCTTCATACTGTCGTACCCTTCATTTCGTTTGAGAAGGTGGGTCGAAGGGATTCGTATATTGGCCTCGCCGGATACCGAAGCAGGGTTGCCCTTGGCTTTTGTCTGTTGAATTGTGCGAAGAAGACCTCGGCTCAGCATACACGAAACTGTAACAAGATCCAGAACTACTGGATCATATTCTAGTTTATTTACATTGAAAAAAGTTGTGACTAGATCCTCTATCCTGTCTGCATCACTTTGACCTGCTTACATGCATGTAGGACAAGCATACATCAGCCAACCAAGGCATGGAATGCCTCATTATGATCGCAAAGTGAGGTATAACAAGTAAGTAGCATCTCAGCTGGCCACCCTTTCTCGGTTTAGTGTGTTTTGGTGATTATTCGTGAATAATGGTTTCTGGCTCTGACGATGTCCGTCGCAGGATGGACGATAGTTGAACACGAAATCATCGGGGTCGTAAGAACGGTTAGCCGAGGTCATCTTCGAATAATTCACCAGACAAAAGTCCAAGGCAACCCTCCTAAGAGATCCGATGAGGCCAATATATGAATCACCTCGACCCACCTTGTCAAACAAAATGGAAGATACGCCAGTATCAAGATTGCAATAGATCGGAAACTATTAGATTGTGCGAAGGAAAGCAAGGCTTTGTGAAATTCAATGGAAACGTCAGCCCTACTCATGTCATTGTGGTAAAAATCAACTACTAGTCCTTCATCACCTCAGACGAACTAGGGTGAACACAATTCATATATTTTTCATCCAATCCGATTCTTCTGTTTCAGGGGGCTAGTTCACGAATAAAAAGTCGATTGAAAGAAATTCGTGAATTGAGCTCGCCTAAATCCAGAGGAGGATTGCCTTGGTGGAGGGAAAACTGTTGGATTATGCGTAGAATTCCTCGGCTCACCCTTCTGTGACCCTTTTGAATCCGTGCTGAGCTTTCATCTTTCACGTGATAGACATGGCCAGAACAAGACAGCATACTTTAGGTACTGGCACAACAATAACACTTTATTATGCGATGTATTCATCCAATTTCGTTTAAGGTGATGAAGCACTTGTAGAAGAACAACTTTTGGGAAAGCAAGGCAGTGCGAAATTGAATGGAAACTTCAGGTCTACTCATATAATTGTGGGAAAATACTTCTTCTACCAGTCCTTCATGACCTTAAACGAAATAGGATGAATACATCTCATATTACTGATTTACTGGTAGTCTCGAAACAATACTTAAATGCGAAACATAAAATAACACTTTATCTTGGTTTACTACATTGTTGCGATTTTTCGTAAAGTATGGTTTCTTGCTCTGAATAGGTCTATCACGGCATGGCAGATGCGTCGGGGTTGCAGGCTGGTGAGCCGTGGACTTGTGCGCGAAATCCGACAGTTTTCACTCCACCAAGGCACTCCTCCTACTGATTTAGGCAAGCCCAATTTACGAGTTCCTTCCAACCCACTTTGCATTCGTGAAATAGCCTCACCTGAAACCGAAAGATTGGAGTGTATGAGGATGTATGAGTTGTGTTCACCCTATTTCGTTTAAGGTGAAGGAAGTTGAATTTTCCCGCAAGATGTATGAAGATGTCCTGTTGCTCTGATAAATCCATGCGAGCTTATGTCTGTCCTGCCGTGATAGACACACAAATCACACCAAATAGTCTAAATGTGTCTGTGTTTCGGTTTTTGGTGAGGCTATTTCATGAATCCCTTCGAGCCAACTTTTCAGCCGAGGTGAATAGTCGAAGGTATAAAGACCAAG